GACCCAATGCCCATCTCTAGACAACTGGATATATCACTTTCTTATATTTGTTTTTAGCTGTCTTTACTTTCAGTTGTTGCTCTGATTGGTAGTGTTATTATAGGCAAAAGTGTATACAGTATGTTACCTGAAATGTCTTTATTATTGATTTGGTAATGTTATGGATATGTAGCCTGCACAGGAAGAACACAGGGAAGACCCGGATTTTGAGACTAAGGAAGACGGAGGACTTGAAGAGTACCCTAACACAGAAGTGAAAGAAGAGAATCCTGAATCAAAAGCAGAAGGGGAATTAAAAACATCCCAGAAATCAATCAGAAGACACAGAAACATGCACTGCAAAGTTTCTCTGTTGGATGACACAGTGTATGAATGTGTTGTGGAGGTGAGTACATTTCAACTTTCAGTAGTCCTTAACAGTGCTGTGTCTAGGGCTGGGTAAGTGGTATGATAGCATGAGCTATTATACCCAGTATAATAATTCTATCTAGCTAGTAGCCAGAAGCAGGAAAAGTAGATTTTCTCTAGCTACCGGATATAATAGCCATTTTCAAAGCTCACTAGTATACATTCCTTGATTTTTTTTTTAAAGCAAGTGACAGGAAATATCTGCAAATAACTATGGTGTAGTTTTTAGACTATTTGTGATTGGATATATTTTCATTGACCATAAATAATTCAATTCAGAAAGACTTTGTTGAATATCTAAGATACCTAAGTACCATATGTTTTGTCAATTAAGGTTACTATCTGTAGCCATCAAAATAGATTGTTGGTATATCAAGCATATCATAATTAATAATTACTGTTATAGATTGTTTTAAGATGTTAATAGAATTTTAAGTATTAAAGATACTTAAATTGAAAATTAACTTGAAGTAAAAAGGGTCAAAGCAAAACTCTGATATTTTATCCAATTCTAACTCAATTACTTATTCTTTCAGAAAAATAACAGAATTGTAAGAAATGTCATCACTTGATTTGAAATTTTTATATGCTATCTCATAGGGCTAAAGAAAAACATTAAGTAAATTAGGCTGTTAAAGTCTTTATCTAGAAGACCACAAACCTTATATATAGTAATTTTGGAGGAAGACAAAATTTTAGAGATAGCTGGATTTAATATTGGAAAGTGAGTATCCTGGGGAAATCTAGTCATTAAGGGTTACTCTAAAGAACAATGTTATTAAAAATACTTTTAAAGCAAAATTGTTTTGTTCATTATAAATGTAACATCTACTCATGTCATAATATTTTGGAAAATACAGAAAAAAATCAAAGAAAATAAGACTTAACTCATAATGGTCTCATACCCACCTTCAGAAAATCCCTAATAACATTGCTTAGAGTTGATTCTGACCCCTACTGGCCTTATGGGACAGAGTTTCTGAACTGCCTCACAGGGTTTGTAAGTCTTTATGGCAGTGGTTCTCAGCCATCCTAGTGCTGCAACCCTTTTATACAATTCCTCATGTTATGGTGACCACCAACCATAAAGTTATTTTCGTTGCTACTTCATAACTGTAATTTTGCTACTGTTATGAATCATAATGTAAATATCTCATATGCAGGATAGATTTTCATTGTTACAAATTGAACATAATTAAAGCATAGTAATGAGTCACAATGAGTAATTATATATTGTGAAATATTTATTTCTAATTACAAATAAATGAAATTTTGTCTTGAAGCATGGTGTAGCATGGGTAACAGTCTTCATGCCGGGTACTTGTAGGTGGGCGTATCTGCATGTGTGCGCACCCTCCTGGAGACGGAGAGAGGAGCCGTGTCTCGGTACCTAAGACTATTGGAAATATGTGTTTTCTGATGGTCTTAGGCCACCTCTGTGAAAGAGTTGTGTGACCTCCAAAAGGGTCACAACCCAGTGGTTGAGAACCACAGATTTATGGCAAAGAGCCCTGGTACCATAGTGATTTGAAATGACTAGCCTTTCTTAGGGACTTTGTGTTCCCTTAAAGTTAGTCTTAGAAAAGGATTAGTATGAATCAGCATCGGTTTTTCAATGGCAGTGAATTTGATTTTGGCTTTTCGGAAGTTTTTATGGCAGCACACTTTCAAGGGAAAGATGTGGTCCAAACTACTAAACTTTCAGTTAACAGTTGAGTGTTTAACCAGTGTACCAAAATCCCTTGGGGGAAGAAATGTTTCAGAATTCAAAGTATTTTGGATTTTAGAAAGGCAGAGATGGTGTATACACCCAGTAGTATCTGTAACAGCATCACTGTGTTCACCAATCACATATTTCTGACATAAAAGATCTGAAAAGTCATTCTAAAATGGATTAATGAAGATCTAAAGAGTCTGGAGAGCTTCTCGGGGAGTCGCAGTATCCACACTCCGCTGACCCAACATCCGTCTCGGTGTCTGCAGCCTCCTCCACTTCCTTCCTGGTCGACGAGAACCAGCGGCCAGAAATCCATCATGTCTTTCCTCAAGATTCACGCCAGAAAGATCTTCAACTCCCGTGGAAATCCCACCGTTGAGGTCGATTTTTACACTGCCAAAGGGCTCTTCAGAGCTGCTGTGCCCAGTGGTGCCTCCACTGGGATCTGTGAGGCCCTGGAGCTCCGGGACAATGATAAGACCCGGTATCTGGGCAAAGGGGTCTCCAAGGCTGTGGGGCACATCAATACAACGATTGCGCCTGCCCTGGTTAGCAAGAAGGTGAACGTGACGGAACAGGAAAAGATCGACAAGCTGATGATTGAGATGGATGGAACTGAGAATAAATCAAAATTTGGTGCAAATGCCATTCTGGGCATGTCCCTTGCTGTGTGCAAGGCCGGAGCTGTTGAGAAGGGAGTCCCCCTATACTGTCACATGGCTGACTTGGCCGGCAATTCTGAAGTTATCCTGCCAGTTCCTGCTTTCAATGTGATCAAC